AAACTCATTTATTAGATGAACTAGATTTTCATTTTAATATCATAGGCGTAACAGAAACAAGAATAAACAGCTCGACTGAGAACTTAGATTTTAATCCTTCGATTTTGCATTATAATTTTGAATACCTGCCAACGCCTCTTTCAGCTGGAGGTGTAGGCATGTATATTGATGAGCGATTTCAATATCAAACAATAGAGAGGTGTTCTAATGAAGCCTTCCAGGCACTTTTTATCGAATTACATCTTCCCAAAAGTGCAAACATAATATGTGGAGTATTGTATAGGCAGCATAATTCCCCTGAGCGTTTTCAGGAATATTTTGACTCGACAATGGAAAAGCTTAGCACCACTGGAAAACAGATTATTCTTATGGGTGACTTTAATATAAATCTTCTCCATGTTCATACTAGTACTCACGCCCAAAATTTTATGCTATCTTTGCAAAGCCTGAACCTGACTCCGACAATCGACAAACCAACAAGAGTTCACAACAACTCTTACTCATTAATTGATAACATCTTTATTAACAGTCTAGAATATAGTATCTGTAGTGGAAACATAGTCTCGGATCTAACAGACCACTTTTCTCAATTTTGTATACTAAACTTTTCTACTAATCGAGATCTCTGTGATCAATCGAAATCTAAGCGGTTAACTCGTGACTTCTCAAACTACTCAGAAACAAAGTTCCTAAGTGAGCTATCTGAAATTGACTTAATGGGTACAATTTGTAATAAGACAGACATAAACAAATCATTCTCTACATTTCACAATAAACTGAACAAGCTCCTCAATAAGCACGCCCCATTAAAGCCAATTTCAAAACGCAGCCTAAGAAAACAACAAAAACCCTGGATAACAAAAGGCATCAGAAGATCAATTAAGATCAAGAATTCACTCTATTATTCTGGTGACAGTAAAACCTACAAAATTTATCGTAACAAAATACTGATGCTCACACGAATAAGTAAAAGGAATTTTTTCCACAACTATTTCGAAGATAACCTAAGTAACATTAAAAAGACTTGGGAAGGTATAAACAATCTTTTAGGTCGCAAACGTAAAGCTATCAAACATATCACCTCGCTTAAACGCCTGGGATCTGATCAAATTTCATACGATTCCTCTGACCTTCCTGACATTATGAATGAGTATTTTTCCTCAATTGGTCATAACCTAGCTTCCAAAATGCCAAACCCGCAGAAGGAATTTTTTGATTATCTTCCAAAATCACGTAATGCTGATTCTTTCTTTTTCAATCCAGTAACACAAACTGAAATTGAGTCCGAAATTATGAACACGCCATTAAACAAGGCTCATGGATTGTATTCTTTCCCCACTCGCGTCTTGCGATCAGCTAGACATATTCTTAGCCACCCCCTATCTGTACTAATCAACAAGTCGGTTGAACATGGAATATATCCCACTAAATTAAAGCTTGCTAAAGTAATCCCAATACACAAAGCCAATGACGATTCTGACCCATCCAACTACAGACCCATATCACTACTTTCAGTCTTCAACCGAATCTTTGAAAAAATGATGTACATTCGCTTGAAATCATTTCTTGAAAAGTTCAGTATTCTCTATGATTCACAGTATGGATTTCGTGAAAAGCGGTCCACTGAACATGCTATCTTGGAAATCACCAATCAGATTCAAACTAATATGGATAGAAAGCTGTACACCTGCGGAATATTTATTGATTTACAAAAAGCTTTTGACACAGTCGACCACTCAATACTTTTAAAGAAACTTGAACATTACGGTATACGCGGGATTGTGAATGACTGGTTTATTTCCTACCTTACTAGTCGCAAGCAAATAACTGAATTTGGCCCCTCAAATATATCTAAGAAAGCGACAGTATTATCTGGGGTTCCCCAAGGATCAGTCCTAGGGCCTCTGCTCTTTCTTGTTTATATAAATGATATTTGTAACAGTTGTAACCGAATGAAGTTTTACCTACTCGCAGACAATACGAATCTTTTATATTAAGATAAAAACCTAAAATCCCTGGAATCTATGGTAAACGATGAGCTCTGTAAGCTCTACGACTGGCTAATAGCGAACAAATTATTTCTAAACATTAAAAAATCTAATTACGTTATTTTTCGACCAAGACAAAAAAATGTCAAATACGAAGTTAATTTAAAAATATTCAACCATCATACCAACTCTTACACACCTTTGGAACGTAAAAGTTATGTTAAATATCTAGGCGTGCTTATTGATGAGAACCTCTCTTGCAAACATCATATTTTAAATATAGCCTCTAAAATAAGCACATCGATTGGCATTATTGCTAGGCTAAGACATTTCGTACCACTTAATACTTTACAACATATATACAGATCGTTGATTCAACCCTATTTGTTATATGGCATAACAGCGTGGGGCCAAGCAGACAAAATCCACAGAAACAAAATCCTATGTCTTCAGAAATGTGCCCGTCGCCTCATGTTTTTTGGTGATTATAAAGCTCACGCAGTACCCTTCTTCATTTCATCCAGTCTACTACCTCTAGATCTTCTTTACTTCAAGTCAGTTGTCGTCTTAATGTATGACGTCTCAAATAACACATCGCCACCTCAAATACGTAATTTATTTAATTACCAACATAATATTCATTCACATAACACAAGATCATCAACAAGAGGCAACTTCTTTCTCGAATACTCTAGATTAGACAAGCTAAACATGTCTTTTTTAAGGAACGGTGTTAGAGTCTGGAATAACCTATCTAATGAAATTCGTCAAATGCCTAAAGTGAAATTTAAACGCAACATTCACAATATGCTCCTTCAGAAACTCTTGGAGGCGAATGAGTATATGGATCTATTGGATTTGAATATGTCTTGAAAACTAAACTCAGTTCATTCTATTAGCTTTCTATCTACATTATCCTTCCAGCTTCCCATGTAATCTGCCTTATNATTATAAAGCTCACGCAGTACCCTTCTTCATTTCATCCAGTCTACTACCTCTAGATCTTCTTTACTTCAAGTCAGTTGTCGTCTTAATGTATGACGTCTCAAATAACACATCGCCACCTCAAATACGTAATTTATTTAATTACCAACATAATATTCATTCACATAACACAAGATCATCAACAAGAGGCAACTTCTTTCTCGAATACTCTAGATTAGACAAGCTAAACATGTCTTTTTTAAGGAACGGTGTTAGAGTCTGGAATAACCTATCTAATGAAATTCGTCAAATGCCTAAAGTGAAATTTAAACGCAACATTCACAATATGCTCCTTCAGAAACTCTTGGAGGCGAATGAGTATATGGATCTATTGGATTTGAATATGTCTTGAAAACTAAACTCAGTTCATTCTATTAGCTTTCTATCTACATTATCCTTCCAGCTTCCCATGTAATCTGCCTTATTTCTCCTGAGAATCTTCGTTTTTTTCCCAAATGTTATTAATACTAGTCAGTATACAGTATTCACCTTATTTTAATGTATTGTACAATAATAATTAATTTTACTTAGTATTGTAATTGTATTGTAATTGTAATTATTCACTTTGTATTTAGTATTCAGCTTATTTTAATGTATTGTGCGATAATAATTAATTCTATTTAGTATTGTAATTGTATTGTAATTGTAATTATTCACTTTGTATGTAGTATTCAGCTTATTTTAATGTATTGTACGATAATAATTAATTCTACTTAGTATTTTAATTGTATTGTTATTGTAATTATTCTACTTAGTTTCAAGCCACTGCTCGCCTCGAATAGCTATAGCTAACTGCAAGCAGTGGTACATCATATTTTGTATTTTTCTCAATTTTTCTTAATAAACTTAAAACTTAAACTTGAAAACTTGAGCAACACCTTAAAGAGAATTGGGAAAGATGCCTCAGTGATGATAATATAACGATCCCTCACAGAATTATTAGAATATACAACCAAAGAGGTGATTGTGTCAAAGTCATGCACACCAACTTTTTGGACACAGAAAATGATGATAATAGCTTGCAAATTCAAGAAGAAAGAGAGGATGAAACAGCTGAAGATTCTATGAAAGATTTTCTCGAGGTGGAGGATAATGAGAACACAGTAGAAGTGACAGGACTGGAAGAGATAACCACGCCTGAGGTTGAGGATTTGTTGGTTGAGTGTAGCGATGATGAAAATGATGATGAAGAACTGCAACCTCTGAAGACATCAGTTTCTTTGTCACCAGCAATTAGTGAAAGCATCTCCAGATACAATCGGGACCAAAATGTAAATGGCTCTGAAGAATCAGAAAGATGTTCACCTGAAACAAGCCAGCAAAGTGAAAAATCCCTTCCCCATGACAGAGGAGACAGCCCACAGCAGAAAGAAATTATAACCAAGCTCTGTAAAAATGTAGCCAGAATAGTTGGGGAGACTGATTGCGTTTTTAAATAAGATTCAGCAAGACAAAAGATGAAAAAAAACCCTGCAAGTGACTTTTACTGTAACAATTATCAAAATCTTCTAGCACCAGTACAGACACAAATCCTGGCACACCACACTGCACTGAAGAAACAACACAAAGAATGGGAAAAACAGCACTACCATGACTACAACTGCTCTGAACCAAGTTTAGAAGACCTCAAGAGAGACAAGGAACAATACTCCCGCTAAAAAAACTTGATTCTATGTAAAGAACTACTAAAGCACTGGAAAGTAACCGTTCATTTGTGAACATGAATACCTGTGGCTGCACTAATTGTTCACCTAGTTATTTATTCTTCCTCACATATTAAAAAACTGAAAGGAAATAAAATTTTAATCCACGTGTAAATTGTACAGTGTATGTATATAAATAATATTATTGAAATACAAAACGTAAACATAATATTCTTTCTAATTTAAAAGTTTTGCCATCCACTGAAGGAGCAATTTTCCAATGATATACTCGCTCGTGTATGCAATAATACAGCTTATCGAAGCCGAACTCCAGTGTTTAATAAAAGGTTCAATAAAAAAATACTTACCTTCATCATTTGCTGCCAAGAAAAATATCCACCTCCTAAGCATCGAAAATAGAAGAACTTTCATGCCATACATGCTGCCTTCTCCCGATTCTGACGAAAAACCTATAGTCTACTGGTAAAATAAATCGCTGCCGCTGCCATTTTGTTTAGGAGAAGCAAACAACGGCCTCGTCACCAGTACCCTCTCGAATTTTGTGATTTCCTCTGTAACCTCGCCAAAACAAAAATTGGCCCAGGCCTTAATTCTCTTGAGTATTCTCAATGCCACTCATTTTCATTTTGATGGCCGCTAGCACTTCTCATTTTCTACCCGCCGCTATTAAATTTTCATTTTATTCTTCCTATGTTATAACTCTTCTTTGTTATCTCTCACTCTTTCTGTTACAAATGTTGAAATTTAAATTAAGTCAAAAGAAAGAATTGGCTTTGTTGTTGTTGCTTTTTTTTATCTCTGAAGTCCAGGTGGCTATGCGATTTACCACCGAAATGTTTGGGTATGTCTATAAAATTTTCCTTCCCCCGACGGGCTGACTCATGACTCCCTTCACCCTTCCTCAGCATCATTGCAGATGTACAGGTGTACAGTGACGTCATAACCAAATTTTCTGACATCAATGGGTCTCCATTTTCTCTTAGGTATGTGACTATGCCCTCATGCAGAGGCTCTGCTATAAATCTATTTTGAGTTGCAGTGTTCCAGCCATAGTGCACCATTGCGTGAATCCGGCAAAAGATTGAGAGATGGCCCCCACCAAAAGCGTTTAAGGGCCATTATAGCCCTTTCCTTCTTTAATTCCCTGGGTTTAAAAATGTCTCTGTTACTTCAACTACAATAATTTTCCAATTAAACAGAATTTTTAATGTAAAGAACAACGACTCCGTACCTTTGTACACAACATGAAAATAAATTGATGAATCCTCTTGAGTTTACCTGATTTACCGTGAGTGGTCTGGAGACCACTGAGCCTTGACTTGGCTTTTGTAATATCTGATGGGTATCCATCATGGCGTCTCGAAAAAGGACGAACCTGACAAACGCATTTTCGAGGTCTATCGAAAGTTTTTTCTCAGTAAGTAACAAAAAAGTGGATGAAGGCGAAGCAGTTTAGAAGAAGCGAAAGGAAGCAGATCTTGACGGTGAAGTGGAAAATGAGATGAAAAAAAACTTACTATTTTTATTGCATACATTCTGATTGTTCTGTTTGCTTTATTACCGAAGATTTCCTCTGTTGTGTATTAAGAGGGATTCTCCATGTCAGCTTCAAATAAACTGCCATTTTCATTTCCTTAACTTTCCAATGGTTTCTTCTCTTTTGCATATTTGAAAGATACTGGTACATTTGCCCTTTCTTGAAATATCTGGCCCCAAAAAATGGGTTGTAGGAGCCATTTTGGCCCTCAAGCAGAAATTTCTGGCTGGAACACTGAGGAGTATGTAATTTGATACTCCCTTTGTTAAAGTTGTACTTGGTTGTTTTCTCATAATCAACTTAAGGTGAAGTCTATGTTAGCTTCACCTGATACTGTAGAGCCTTGAGAGTATTGTAAAAAAAATGTTCATTAAAAAGCCCATTTCCGACTTGTCTGGCGCGTTGAACTGGTACAGAATTTAGCACATCAGAAAGAGGCTAGGTGTGCATTTGGCAAATATGGTGCCCGGGGATGTGGGTTTCTCCAAGTGTAAAGTAGAAAACCTGAAATAATATGTCCCATCATGGATTTCAGCTGAGTGAAAAGCAAAAACTCGAAGAAGTCGTGGAGTCTCTTGATCGGCTGTTGGAGGAAAAGCTACAGACAAACCAGGGACTACTTCCTAATCCTGTTACATTGCGTTGTCGGAAACTCGATAATAGCATAGGGTTTTTAATGTTTATTTTGTCACGAACCGCCAATCTTTGAAGGCGTTTATTTTTATCTGAATGGCAAAGATCACGTTATTCCACGTGTTATTGTGAAATAGAGTACGTTTGTTATTTTTCTGTCAGCAATATCGTTTTAGCCAATCAGCTCATGTTTATTCAAGGTGTGCCATAGATTAGGGTTCGCTCGATTGATGCCAGTGAGAGGTGGATTATTTTTGTAGCAGAAAAGAAAAAACTGTGATTAAAAAACCTGAAAGTGAAGACTGAGGACATTGTGGGCCTTCTTAACCTATTCCCCACACAAGTGGCACCTCCGTCGGGACTATCAAGAATCTAAACCGTGACTAAAATGGAGGAAAAGCAAAAGGAACTCGAGACAGAATTGCAACTACTAGCACTTACTCGCTCCAAGACTGCTGCAATCGTGGACAAGGGCAACCTCGACAAAATCCTTCGTCACAAGGAAATTTTGAAGAAAATCGTGAATTCCATCGAAGATCTCAAGGTAGACATCGAAAAAGCCAAGCTTGAGGCTGGAGAAATCGTCGAGAATGTGCAGAAATGGGGAGCAACAATAGAACAACGCACCGACGAAGCAGATTTGGAGATATCTGATTTAACTCGCAGTCTTGAAGAAGCTGCGACGAGAGCAGAGGACTACAAGCATGAGAAGGAGAAAACTTTACTCGATTGGCAACGAGAGGAAGAACTAGAGTTTGAAAAACTAAAACTTGAGCAAAAGGCGAAAATTCAACAAACAGAGCAAGCCGCCGCAAAGCCAGCCAGCAAAAGCAACGTGAAAATGTCAAAAATAATCATCACAAAATACAACGGCACCTATGAGAAGTGGCTCTCGTTTTGGAACAAGTTTGAAGCTGAAATTGATTCATCTGATCTGCCAGCGGTCACAAAATTCGCTCATCTGAAAGAATTGCTGGAAAGTAATGTTTGCGAATCAATCGACGGCCTTCCCTTTACTTCTGAAAGCTACCAGCGCGCTAAGAATATTCTGACTTCAAATTACAAGATAAGCGAGATTGTAAGGGCATACATCGACAACTTGAATGCCTTGCCAGTGATAACAGGATCACAGCCACGCAAAATCCATAAATTTTGCCAGACTTTGAACTACAATGTTCAATCTCTTGAGACGCTGGGTAAACTTTCGTCTTGTTTTTCTATGGTGCGTGGTGTGCTTGATAAGCTGCCGGGAATCAAAGCCGAACTCGTGAGTGGAAAAGTAGGATGGCAAGACTGGGGATTCACGGAACTAATACGAGCTCTAGAAGAATGGAAGGCAATTCATCCACTGGAATTAGCTGAGAAAGCTAGCGGAAAACCTCAGGCCCCGCCGCCGCCTCGTCCGCCTCGCCACAGAAGTTTCTACGCGCAAGAACGCGAACCAGCCTGCGCGCGACACGCGTGTGTTTATTGTGATTGCGTGACGCACAGATCTTGGGAGTGCGATAAAATCAAGTCGCCTGCCAAACCCCGTCAAATTTTGCAGAATAAATGGTTGTGTTTTAACTGCACTGGGCCCAAACACAGCGCAAACAACTGCTCTAGTAGAGCTTCATGTGTACACTGCAAGCAAAAGCACCACTCGTCTATCTGTGACAGACAAGTAAGAGCAAGTCAGCCTAGAAATAATGCTGGAGTCGCATTGACAGCAACACAAGACGGGGAGAAGGTTTGCCATCCTATAGCTCTTGTCAAAGTAAATGGCGTAACCTGTAGAGCACTACTGGATACCGGCGCAACCGTTTCTTACGCATCTGGATACCTCTTAGATAGGCTGAAGCTGAGACCAACACGCACGCACACACGCCGTATTCAAACCATCGTGGGAGTGGTTACAAAACGAAGCGAGATCTTCAACGTCCAAGCGAGCGACACGGAAGAAAAGTATGCCATTCCACTGAGCGTGACGAGAATTGACCGTGCCGAATTGCTGTCTGTTGAAAACCCAAATTATGCGGTAATGATAAGCAAGTACCCACATCTGAAGGGAGTGTACATGGAGGACACAGACTTGAAGAAGATGCTTCCTGTCCATGTTATTCTTGGAGCGAGTGACTATGCGCGAATAAAGACCCGCGAATCCCAGCGAACTGGAGCTATGGGTGAACCAGTGGCCGAATATACTCGCTTTGGGTGGACCATCATGTCACCAGGGACGGAGACAGACCTAGACAGCATGTTCCTAACGCAAACGGCCTCAAACGATTATGAAGAGCTGTATAGAATGGACGTCCTTGGGCTTGAAGACGCACCTAGTGGTGACCAAAGCGTTGTCTACGCAGAGTTTCGTGAACAGCTTAGACGCAGTCCTGATGGGTGGTACGAAGCACGCCTTCCTTGGAAAGGAGACCACCCTCCCCTACCTTCGAATGAATCTGGGAGCTTGAAACGCCTGGGAAGTCTAGTGCAACGTCTAAAGAAAACAGGTCGTCTGGACGAATACGATGCGATAATCCAGGACCAACTGCGCGAAGGAATTGTGGAAGAGGCAGACATGCCAGCCAGTGGGAAAGAATTTTACATACCCCACAAAGCTGTGGTGAGGGAGAATGTAGAGTCGACCAAGATGCGGGTAGTCTACGATGCCTCAGCCAAAGCCCATAGCTCCGCGCCCTCACTAAATGACTGCTTGGAGGTTGGACCGCCGCTCCAAAATAAACTTTGGAAGGTTCTAGTGCGGGGAAGATTCCATCCTGTGGCTCTCGCTGGTGATATCCGCAAAGCCTTTCTCCAAGTGAGAATTCATGTACAAGACCGAGATGCTCTTTGGTTCCATTGGTTAGAAGCTAAAGATCCACAGCGAATTCGGACTTACAGATTCACTAGAGCACTCTTTGGCTTGGGACCCTCGCCTTTCCTGCTAGGAGGTGTGATCCAACAGCATCTGAACACTTGCCGAGATGAATATCCCAAGTGCGTGGAAGAGATTGAGCGTGAGCTATATGTGGATGACATATTATCTGGTGGACCTACTACCGAAGAAGTGAAACAGAAGAAAGCCACAACAACTGAGATATTTGCCCAAGCTACTTTCCATTTGCACAAGTGGCACTCGAACGTGAAAGAGCTGGAACTGGATGACGTACCCGAAGACAATGCAAAAGAACTGGAGCCGGTTACAGTGAATGAGCACGAAGACGACTTAAGCTACGCGAAGCAACAGCTGGGCGTTCAATCTAGACAGTGTGGACTCCTGGGATTAAAGTGGAACAAGTTATCTGACGAAATTGGGGTCCCTTTTCCCGCAAACGTTGCTCAACCGACGAAAAGAGGGATCCTGGGAAAGGTGGCTAAGATCTATGACCCCTTAGGGTTAGCTGCACCTACCACTCTACAAGGAAAGCTGCTATATCGTGAGGCTTGTGAAGAGTAATGCGCATGGGACGCACTGCTATCTGCAGAGCTAGTTCAGCAGTGGAAGAAGTAGGAGAGTTGTTTACCTCAGCAAATTAACTGCCCAAGAGCACTAACGAGTGCGCAACAGCCTATCGAGAACATCATCTTCATGCCTTTGGAGACGCTAGCGGAAAGGGCGTCGCGGCTGCCGTGTACGCCGTCATCAAACAGCCGACTTCAGTAAACCAGGGCCTCGTCACAGCAAAGGCAAGACTGGCGAAGCAAGGGTTGACAATACCTCGCCGCGAACTAGACTCGGGTCACATGGCTGTGAATCTTCTAAGCAACGTACAAGATGCGCTAGAAGGGTTTCCTGTATCCTCCCTACACTGTTGGCTTGATAGCAGCGTCGCACTACACTGGATACGCAGGAATGGAGACTTCAAGCAATTCGTGGCAAATCGTGTCCGAAAGATTAGAGAGCATGGTGACATTACGTGGAGACACGTACCAACTAAGGATAATCCTGCCGACCTTGCTAGCTGCAGTGGACCGGTCACAGAAGAGAAACAACTGTGGTGGAAGGGACCAACATGGCTCAGTGATCCTAGCGCATGGCCCCCAGACCTTGTTACCGTACCCACCGCAGAATCCAAAGTGATAAAGGAAGTCTTAGCCACAGCCCTATCATCAGAAGACGACTTCAGTGTGCTGATGGAGCAACACAGTCTGTTAAAGGCCTTGCGCGTGTGCGCATGGGTGTCCAGGTTCCTAACTAATTCCAGAAACCCGAAGCCAAGAAGAGTGAAAGGACCGCTGACCACCGATGAAATGAAGTACCAGGAAACCTGGTGGACCAGATGAGCTCAAGAGGAAGGCAGAAGTTCGAAGAATTTTGAGGCAGACAAGTTACAGCTTAACTTGCAACCAGACAACAACGGAATACTGGAGTGTAGAGGACGAATCGTCGGTGCATACCCTATCTACCTTCCTGATGGTAACGCATTCACACACAAGCTTGTTCAACGAGCACATCTAGCAACCCTTCACGGGGGAGTTACACTCACAATGACCAAAGTTCGGGAGACTCACTGGATCCCTCGCCTGAGAAAACTTACCAAGAAGGTCATTAAAAGCTGTTGGGGTTGCAAGAGATTTCGAGCTCAAGCCCACCAGTCCCCACCGCCAGGCAATCTACCAACGACCAGAACCCAAGGAGTGACACCCTACGAAACCATCGGTGTTGACTTTGCTGGGCCCATAAAGTATCAGGTGACAAAGAAGATGGAAGGTAAAGCCTACCTAGCCTTGTACGCCTGCGGTCTTACCAGAGGGGTGTACCTCGATCTACTTCCGAGCTTAGAAACAAGCAAGTTCCTTGCAAGTCTGAAAGGGTTTATAGCCAGGCGTGGACGCCCTCGTGTAATCTACTCAGATAACGGAAGCACGTTTAAAGCAGCAGCGGATTGGCTGAGGAAAGCCATGAAAGATGAGAAGTTTCACACCTGCCTTTCAAAGCTGGACATAGCCTGGAGATTCAACCTTAGCCGAGCTCCCTGGTGGGGTGGCCAGTTTGAGAGGCTGATAGGCGTGTTCAAGTCTGCCTTCCGGAAAGCAGTGGGGAACGGAACCTTATCCTGGGGCGAATTATCGGACGTTGTGCTTGACGTTGAAATTGCCATGAATGGACGTCCCCTGAGTTATTTGGAAGAGGACGTCGAATTGCCAGTACTCACTCCAAGCTCCATGCTGCACCTTCGGCTGAGCCAACTCCCAGAGCTAAATGCCTACCACATCGAGGAACCAGATCTAAGGAAAAGAGCCAAGTATCTCTATCGGTGCAAAGAAGCGATGTGGTCCAGGTGGACAAGAGAATACGTGAGAAGCCTACGTGAGCGGCACAGCAGGAGCGGAGGGAAACAGACCTCCCACCCCTCAGTGGGGGAAGTGGTGATAATTCAGGACGAGTCTCGGAACCGTAACTCATGGAAGCTAGGGATCGTGGAAAGGCTGATCGTGGGACGTGACGGAATCGTACGTGGAGCTAAGTTACAAGCTGGGAAAGGAGTCTTGGAACGAGCAGTGCAGCAGCTGTACCCTCTCGAGCTGTCCTGCGACAGAACAGATGCAAGGTTGAATCCTGAGGCCGAACCCTATCGGCCAAGGCGGGATGCGGCAGTCGCAGCAAGACTCCATATTGCGGATGCTGCTCAGGAAGCAGAGCCGTGAGAACTGTGAAACCAGAACTTCCTCAGGACGAGCAATCAAAAGAAAAAAAAACTTTCAGAACATTAAGGATGTGTCCATTAACCTTTTTGTTATGATTTCAAGTGATTAAGCCTAGTAACATTCAAAGAACGCTGAACTGTGATTCAACGTGAACACTGTGGACAACGGAATCATTGAACTATGTGATTTGTTCTTTAAGACTTTTCTTCGTTTTCAAATTGTTTACCGTACTTAGGTTGAAGCAGTTTCCTTTGCTTACATGTACTTCCTTGTCGAAAGCACATGGGGGAGTGTGTCGGAAACTCGATAATAGCATAGGGTTTTTAATGTTTATTTTGTCACGAACTGCCAATCTTTGAAGGCGTTTATTTTTATCTGAATGGCAAAGATCACGTTATTCCACGTGTTATTGTGAAATAGAGTACGTTTGTTATTTTTCTGTCAGCAATATCGTTTTAGCCAATCAGCTCATGTTTATTCAAGGTGTGCCATAGATTAGGGTTCGCTCGATTGATGCCAGTGAGAGGTGGATTATTTTTGTAGCAGAAAAGAAAAAACTGTGATTAAAAAACCTGAAAGTGAAGACTGAGGACGTTGTGGGCCTTCTTAACCTATTCCCCACAGCGTTCTTGGTCTCACAATTTAACGAGTATACCTGAATTCACATTTGCTGACTCATATAGCTACTTAGTCAGAAAAGACGACTACTCAGTTGAGAACCTCTGGTCGTTTAAATGCCTACATGGATACAAGCTGTTCCATGATGTACATGTGGAAGATTTACAGTGCTGTCGATTGAAAAACAAACCATTTTCTTACTTTCAGTAAAGTGAAGCCAGCTGAACGGGCAAAAACGGGAGACGGTCAGTCACCTTATAATGGTTTTTTACTTTTGAAATCAAGCGCCGAAGTCCACGCAGCCTATTGTCCATGTAAGGGAAGCAGCGATGGTGCTTGTAAACATGTCACTGCTGCACTTGTTGACTTAACCTAACAAACACATACACTTTAGAGAATTGTCTCTGGAAATGTAGAAATAGAAAAAGTGACTATGCCATTCGACTAGAAGATCTTAATATTGTCAAAGCAGAGTTTGGAAAAGAAGAAAAACTTCATTTGAAACCATATCATTTTGACCCAAGATCAACCCTCACAAATTCGAGTACTTTAAAAGAAAAGTTAAGGCAAGGTCTCAAGCAGGTTTGTCCCGATTCAGTAGCTCTACAGTTTTTGCCTAGCTCAAGTGGATCCGATATTCCCAAAACCTCAGGAGCTGAATACATTTCATGTGATGCAAATGTTGAGCATTAAGAATTAAGAATGAACACAGTATTAAGCCCACGGCCTATTATGTCATTTGCATGTATACAATGATTGCTCAGTTTAACCTTTGTAAATTTGATCTGCTAGATGACACCTTTATGATTATAATTTGAAGTTAATATTTTAACTTCTTTGTTCAGGGAAAATTGTTTTATAGTACACTGGTGAATTTCTGATGTCATATAACAGTTTTCTGCACACACATCCTCAACTTCAACTTGGTCAATACACACAGAAATTGTTTGCATGGTACTGCAAGGTATCTGTCAGAAATAATTTTCATTGTTACTGAAGACTGTGTCATACTGTGCCAACTGATTTATATCTGTATTGAGTGTACTTCAACTAAAAGAGTCATGACAGCTCCAGTAAAAACCCGATGTATCAGAAACTATGGATTAAGAACATCCAGGCTAAAATTTGCCCAAATAAGCACCATACCACTTAAGCCTGGACAAAATGAAAGAGGTTCTTATGTGCAAAAAAAAATTTATCCATGCAATAGTACTATTTAGGACTACATGTAGGTAGCACTAATTATTACTTAACAGTTGGTCTAATGATGTTCAGTTCAGTTCTTTGACTTGTAAGGGTCAATAATCCGCTAATTCAAACAAAGCTCAAGTAGATGCATAATACAGTGTACAGATTATTACTTGTTAATTTCCATGCAATTAGGAATCTGTTCAGCGTGATTTGTCAAGAGACATTCATCGTTTTAATATGTGGGTTTTTACTGCATGATGAATACTGTAAACTTATTATGCCAAGGCTCCACCAGTTTACAGAGTCCACCACAAACAAACAGCAAGTGATTATTAGGGGACAAAGGTCAAGGGTATATTTCCCTCAAATATTTTGAAATCTTTCAGGCGTTCAACCGCCCAATCCACCAGGCCACTTTCTTGTGTAAATCGTATATCAGTTGTGCTACCTGCCTAAAAGTCAGAGAAAAAGCTGAAGTACCCTGAAGGTTGAATTCCCACCAGAGCCTTTATTGTATGATGCTCTTCGTAGTCACTCCAGGTGGCTCTCTGTGCATAGAGTGAAGTTGGTTTTTCAATAACCATTTCGATACAGTCTATTATGATCCTTGTGGTTGGGTACCATTTAAAAGATAGATAGCCTTTATTTTAAAACGATGAATATTAAAGCTACATGAGCTTGTGGGGTCGTTTGCAATTAACTAATTACAAGTAAACTAAAAAGCTAAAAACTAGGGGTATATACAGACAAAATGTTTGAA